ATTTCTCCTTTCGTCGGAGGACTCGTGCCCACTGGAAGTTCTGTGCATGCTGTTATGTTAGTAGTATTTGTGGGCGAGTTACAGGTGATGGTCGATTCAAGAGTCCTTTAAAGTGATCAGCCCACTGTTTCATTCGTCCGTCCTCCTTGATAATCAGATTCCCTTGACCATCTTTTATTGATTTCATTATCTGGTTTGATCTCTTCCCCGATAGATCCCTGGCTATCTGATTTAATGTTCTGAGTTCTCCTTAACCTGAGACTCATCTGTTCTGCTTCATTGGCCGGCCACTGTGTCGCACAACTGCTGTTTTTCTTTCCTAACACTCTTCTTTACTGCTTTATTCAGTGTAGTGTACATTGAACTCGACTTCGCCCTCAGTTGCTCATCTTCGCATTGAGTCATCTTCTCTTTCACCATCCTCCTCTCCTCGATTAGCTCCCAGGTAGGTGTCCGTTGACAGTCATTCCTCGTCTTGTCTCTTCCTTATTCCTAGAACAGAATATCACATTTCTCTTCATTTTTATATGCATACTGACTTCAACTCATTCAATAAATTATCCATCTTATTACGTAACTGTGATATCTGTATTCAACTTCACTTATGCACTGATTAATAATCACAACTATGAAATTGTTGCAATGAGTATTTTCTATGTCAAGAACTAATTATTTTGTCTGAAAATTCTGTACGAAGAATTGATGTTTGAAAATAAATCACTCATGAGAAAAAGCTTGACAAAACAAGCGCTTACATCCACCTAAGTATACAAATTTTAATAAATGAATTGTGATCCCAGAAGGAACGATCAATCTAAAGCGCACATGTATACTAGAATGTTGAAGTTGACTTTCTTGGATATACTGCTAAAGGACAGATGAAGACAATTTAAAAGCCATTTTTATAAAACCTAACTTTGAAGAAATAAGCAAGACTATTTATGACCTTCAGTTTCAACACTCCTAGAATTGACTATTGGGCCAGTAATATATTCTTTCAGCTACAAAGCAAAGTGCAGCAGGTCTGGTGTGAGGACAAATACTCGCCGAAGACATTGGCTAGCGATCACGGTATATCGCAAATTGGCAGAAGTTACAATCCATGGGCCATTGGATCGGGTCCTAGTGGCTTAATTGTCTACGACCTAACTGGCCTTGTAACCAGAAGGTCCTGGGTTCGAACCCCGTAGCGTGGGTGCGTACTGATGAAGAGTCCCAAACTAGTGCGACGAAACGGCTTTCAAGTACTACCAAGGTTATTCAATGGTTCCTTAACCGATGTCAGCTCATGATGAAATCCTGTAATCGATCAGTCGAATCCCTGTACAAACCAACACTTGAGAAGTATCTTTTATTAATCCCCGATAACTTTGCTATCCAGATGAAAAAATTACTAACCCTGTTGTGTTAGATGAAATTCATCGGTAACACCACACCCTAGATTCACAATCCCCAACGGCAACAACAACACAAGTATAAGACGAAGACGAATCGAAGGCTGTTTTTTTAATGCAGTCAAAATGGCAATAGATGGAAAATATATTGAGGTGACACATTAAATCTTTATGGAATTATAATTATTACATGTCATATATATATATATATATTGGTAAATATTAAGTTCTTCTGATCTCGGAAGACATCTAAAAGCGCCTGATAATACAAATGTAGCTATACACACACACACGCACACACACAAAAGGAAAACAAAACACGGAAAGCCTCGAAAGAGATGAGGAATATCGTCAGGCATAGTGACAATAGTAATATTAGGAATAATAATAATAATAAGAGTAATAATAATAGTTGTAATAATGAAGGAATTTGTATATAATTTTTAACAGAAAGCACCAACAAGCTAACTTATTATGATGATGGTGATTATTAATATTTTTTTCTACCGGAATGGCAAAAGAGATTCCATGAAGTTAAGTTAACACTAAGTGAACAGAAGTATTAATGAATGTATCATAGGATATATTTATATGTAAAGGGAGAGGGAGAGAGAGAGAGGTGGAAAGCGACAGACTGATATTTCATTGTTAAATCTAAATGAATAAACAATATTAATAATAATAATAAATGAATTCATTGTCAAAATAAGAACAATTTATATCACAATATTTATCATTTTCTGTTGGGTTTCCTTAATTTTAAGTTCAGTATTTTTAATAATAATAGTGATATTATTATTATTATCATTATCAGCGGAAATGACAAAGCAGTGCATCAATAGGTTTCCTCAGTGATACCACTTAGTGTCTCCGTCTTTGCTCTGATGTGTTGTTGTGGTTTTGTCTTTCGGTTTTTGTATGTTGGACTTGATTTGTGGTCTGTTTTCAGTTGTTTTGAGGGATTCCGGCTTCACCTTGAAGGTTCCTTGAACTAGATGGTAGTCTGAACCTAAGTCGGTTTCTCTTCTCGAATTTGTGTCCATCAGGCTGGCTGCATCTCCACTTCCTTCAGTAACATTGAGATGAAGTCTATCTGGCCTGTGGTGTGTGCGTCAGGAGGAATCCATTTTACTTTGTCTACATCCTCGTGTTTGTACACTGTGTCACTGCGTTGCATTGGATAATTGTGACCCTTCTTCTTATGAGTTGGATCTTGTTGTCATGATCGTGTATGCTAGGCACTACTGAATTAATGCTCAGTCTGTAATATTGTTGCGCATACTACTGATTAGGTTTATCAGTAGTATATATATATAAGGCGGCATTCATCGGCATAAAAGACATCAAATGGCAGGTAGATAGATTTGATGTGGATGAAGGTGAATCATACAGCGTTGTGGAGATACTTAGGAGACGTGAAAAGAACACAAAAAAACAGACACAATATGAAGGGAGGTGAGAGGTAGCACAACACGGAAGATCTGTGCATATGGTGCGTTGAAGATAATAACAATAATAATTTTTCCTTCACATTCCCAGTGGGACAAGCTAATGGCTTGAAGTTTCTGTAGCAGTGTTTATTTTTACAGGATGTGGTTGCTAGCCTCATGCCCAATCTTTCCTCTTTACCAGTATTATTTCTGGCGTAGGGAGGTAAAGGAGTACGTCGGTGGCCGGGGATCGAACCCCGGACCATTTCCATGGTCAGCGAGCGTCATAACACGCTGTGCCACCGACGGACGCGTTGAAGATAAGGTGTACATAATTTCGCCGTATAGAAATACCAAATTCCAAATAAACATTCCTTCATCAAGTATCTTGTCTTCTATTGTTACAATAGTACAGTGTGAAATAATAATAATGATTTACTTTATTATTATAAATGACAGATAGTTGTTTGTCCTTACAAACCTGTGGATGCGTCATAGCTGACTACTACTACTACTACTATGCAACACAGATATTCAGACTTATTACTCTAAAGTGTTATTGAATTGTAGTTCAAGAGTAAGATTAAATAGTAGTCTTTTTTTGTAGTATGCCGGTTACGTTTTACTTTTCATAGTAATTAGTACCTCTTATGATCATACCAGAGGTGGTCATGTGTCTTTTCGTGATCGTTATTTCGTGTGTGTGTGTGTGTGTTTTCTTTTTTCTAGTTCTTCATTTAGATACAGCTAGCATTGTTATATTATGTGTGACTTTTTGGCATTTTAATGTTGTATCTGGTGTGTTAGAATCAAGCATATATAAAAAATATTATTAACAAAAGTCTTGTGATATGAAATCAACACTCTTGAAAAAAGGAGTTTAATTTAAACCTGTTTGTTCAACAATTTTATGCTAAAATTGAACTGGATTAGTGACGATTATTTTCACATAAGTGATTGAGTGATTCACAAATTTAATGATATGATGGAATTAATCCACATGTAATATATGAATCGGAGGTAAATAGGTTTGTAGAACTGTAGGTTCCTACAGTCTAGATTCTCAGCTATCAACCAAGTAGGTTATCGCTTAGAACTCACGTCTACGTACCGACCAAAACTTGAGATTAGTCAATGTTGATGTTACTCAAAAACCAAATGCATTTCCATACAGTTGGCAGTGAGCCACACCTGTGGCTGATGATAACTACCTAACTGCTCAAACTTTGGTAGATGGGTTGGGGTTCTAACCAACGACCTATTGGTTGAAAATCAAAATCCCTTATGTTTATGAGGTCAATTACATAGGTCAAACTAGTAGATCGGGGTCAATTAGATTATTGGGGCATGAGAATTTAACTAGACCTAGAATGAATGGTCCGGGGTTTGATCCCCTACCGACGAAGCACTCCTTTACCTCCCTAAGCCAGAAATAATGCTGGTAAAGAGGAAAGATTGGGCATGAGGCTAGCAACCCCATCCTGTAAAAATAAACACTGCTACATAAACTTCAAGCCGCTAGCTTGAGGCCCTATGTTCCACTGGGAACGTGAAGGAAAAAAAGAATGAATGACCTTGCCAACTTAAGTAATGTAGTAAATGGAACTCAGCTGTTGAACTGCATTCATGTACATGTAATCACAAAATAGTTTCGGACAGGATGAGAGTGCTCAAAGGGAATATAGTTAGGTGTGTGTACAGAGAGAGAGAGGTTAATCACTGAATTTTTGTTTAGCTAGTCAACACCGCATATGTGCAATCGGAATGATGCAACAAACAACAAAAAGGAGTTCGAGAAACAGAATATCATCACTCACTGGGAAATGCAGGTACATCCGACAGACGAGTCCCAAATAGGACGAAATGCGCTTTATCCTGGATTTCACAGCTAGTCACCATCCACAAAATAAAATCCATTAGTATTGCGTTTAAACTTTTTCGTAAACTGCGTGTAATTTTCAGCCTTTCTATTCACCTGCTGTCCTAGTTATGCATGGACAATCAAAGGAGATAATCCGAAAAGCGCGTCGTGATATATATATATATATATATATATATATATTTAAGGATTTAGTAATCATTATGTGTAAATTATTATTATTATTACTGTTTTACTATTGTTTTCTATGAATGTTTTCTGTGAATTACCAATTACTTTTATTTATTCTATTCACAGATATTAATCGTTTGGCTCCTTTCGCTGTAACTGGGAGTGTTGATCAAACAATTCATATATGGGATTGCCGGTAAACAACATCTGTCTGTCACAGTCATCTTCTTACATATATATATATATATATATATATGCATAAATTGTAATCAGTAATTAAAAACAAGAAAAAGGAAAGAGAGAAAAAAGTAGGTGAAACAAGAATCATTTGACAACTGATCTTCTTGTAGGTGTGTGTGTGTGTGTGTTTACCTGTCCGTGTCTGTGTCCCCATGTGGTGTTTTGGTGGGTTCTTGAAATTTTTCACTCTCCTGATTATTTTCTCTTAAAATCCATCTCTTTTTAAAAATGTCAGGAGTCAAACAAGCAAACAAACAAACCATACTGATTTGTATTTAGGATTTAAATATCCGCGCTGTCGTTAGTATATAATTATCCTTTCATTTTATCTTCAACCAAATATATAACTTGAAATCTCATTCATCTCTGTATTGTGTTTCTTTATATCTATCCTGTGTTCAACTTGCATACACATATAATAACAATAATAATAATAATAATTCAATTTATTGGATTCATTACAACCAAAATATGGTGGCTAACCGGTTGTCTTTTGCTACTTACTATACTATTTATTTTATTTTGTCTTTATTTGTCTTCTTCAGATTTTGTACATGTATTTGATCGGTTATTTTTTGTTCTGTCTCTCCACTTCGTCAATTTCGAGTTTATCCTTTTGGTTTACTTTTTTTTCAATCATCCTTATTTGTTGTGTGCGCGCGTGTGTGTGTGTATGTGTGAAACCGCTGCTTTCTACTATTGTATGTTGATTTTATATATTTGTTCTCAGCTGGATGGTTGGTGGTTAGTTAAACACACTCATTTCTGTATGTTCGCGCATATATTTATATATCCCCCCTTCATTCATTACAAATGAATACTGCCGAAAGACCTATTGATGCACTGCTTTGTCATTTCCGCTGATAATGATAATAATAATAATAATATCACTATTATTATTAAAAATACTGAACTTAAAATTAAGGAAACCCAACAGAAAATGATAAATATTGTGATATAAATTGTTCTTATTTTGACAATGAATTCATTTATTATTATTATTAATATTGTTTATTCATTTAGATTTAACAATGAAATATCAGTCTGTCGCTTTCCACCTCTCTCTCTCTCCCTCTCCCTTTACATATAAATATATCCTATGATACATTCATTAATACTTCTGTTCACTTAGTGTTAACTTAACTTCATGGAATCTCTTTTGCCATTCCGGTAGAAAAAAATATTAATAATCACCATCATCATAATAAGTTAGCTTGTTGGTGCTTTCTGTTAAAAATTATATACAAATTCCTTCATTATTACAACTATTATTATTACTCTTATTATTATTATTATTCCTAATATTACTATTGTCACTATGCCTGACGATATTCCTCATCTCTTTCGAGGCTTTCCGTGTTTTGTTTTCCTTTTGTGTGTGTGCGTGTGTGTGTGTATAGCTACATTTGTATTATCAGGCGCTTTTAGATGTCTTCCGAGATCAGAAGAACTTAATATTTACCAATATATATATATATATATGACATGTAATAATTATAATTCCATAAAGATTTAATGTGTCACCTCAATATATTTTCCATCTATTGCCATTTTGACTGCATTAAAAAAACAGCCTTCGATTCGTCTTCGTCTTATACTTGTGTTGTTGTTGCCGTTGGGGATTGTGAATCTAGGGTGTGGTGTTACCGATGAATTTCATCTAACACAACAGGGTTAGTAATTTTTTCATCTGGATAGCAAAGTTATCGGGGATTAATAAAAGATACTTCTCAAGTGTTGGTTTGTACAGGGATTCGACTGATCGATTACAGGATTTCATCATGAGCTGACATCGGTTAAGGAACCATTGGATAACCTTGGTAGTACTTGAAAGCTGTTTCGTCGCACTAGTTTGGGACTCTTCATCAGTACGCACCCACGCTACGGGGTTCGAACCCAGGATCTTCTGGTTACAAGGCCAGTTAGGTCGTAGACCATTAAGCCACTAGGACCCGATCCAATGGCCCATGGATTGTAACTTCTGCCAATTCGCGACATACCGTGATCGCTAACCAATGTCTTCGGCGAGTATTTGTCCTCACACCAGACCTGCTGCACTTTGCTTTGTAGCTGAAAGAATATATTACTGGCCCAAAAGTCAATTCTAGGAGTGTTGAAACTGAAGGTCATAAATAGTCTTGCTTATTTCTTCAAAGTTAGGTTTTATAAAAATGGCTTTTAAATTGTCTTCATCTGTCCTTTAGCAGTATATCCAAGAAAGTCAACTTCAACATTCTAGTATACATGTGCGCTTTAGATTGATCGTTCCTTCTGGGATCACAATTCATTTATTAAAATTTGTATACTTAGGTGAATGTAAGCGCTTGTTTTGTCAAGCTTTTTCTCATGAGTGATTTATTTTCAAACATCAACTCTTAGTACAGAATTTTCAGACAAAATAATTAGTTCTTGACATAGAAAATACTCATTGCATCAATTTCATAGTTGTGATTATTAATCAGTGCATAAGTGAAGTTGAATACAGATATCACAGTTACGTAATAAGATGGATAATTTATTGAATGAGTTGAAGTCAGTATGCATATAAAAATGAAGAGAAATGTGATATTCTGTTCTAGGAATAAGGAAGAGACAAGACGAGGAATGACTGTCAACGGACACCTACCTGGGAGCTAATCGAGGAGAGGAGGATGGTGAAAGAGAAGATGACTCAATGCGAAGATGAGCAACTGAGGGCGAAGTCGAGTTCAATGTACACTACACTGAATAAAGCAGTAAAGAAGAGTGTTAGGAAAGAAAAACAGCAGTTGTGCGACACAGTGGCCGGCCAATGAAGCAGAACACGTGAGCCTCAGGTCAAGGAGACCTCAGAACATTATATCAGATAGCCAGGGATCTATCGGGGAAGAGATCAACCCAGATAATGAAATCAATAAAAGATGGTCAAGGGAATCTGATTAGCAAGGAGGAGGGACGAATAAAACAGTGGGCTGATCACTTTAAAGGACTCTTGAATCGACCATCACCTGTAACTCGCCCACAAATACTACTAACATGACAGCATGCACAGAACTTCCAGTGGGCACGAGTCCTCCGACGAAAGGAGAAATCCTGAATGCGATCAAGCTACTGAAGTCCAGGTGAGAGGGCTGCAGGACCAGCCGGTTCTCCCCCGAAGTACTGAAGACAGACCCAGAGATTACCACAGACGTCCTCACTCCATTTCTGCAAAATGTTTGGAGAGAAGGAAAGGTGACTGCTCATTGGAAGAAGGGCTACCTCGTCAAACTGCCAAAGAGGGGCGGTTTAGGCGTCACCCTGCAAGAACTGGCGTGAACTAATGCTCTTGTCAACGCCAAGTGAAATACGCTAAGTCGCATCATCCTGCAGAGAATAAAAGATGCACTGGATACACAACTCCGCCACCCACCAGAACAAGCTTGACTCTGGAAAGGCAAATCATGTGTTGGTTAAATTGCATGTCTACGCATCGTCATCACAGAACAGAGCATAGAATGGCAGTCAAACTTCTCCCTACTTCAACTTCATGGCCTTCGGAAAGGCCGTCGACAGAGAGCGTTGACGGAGAAGTGATTGGGAAACTATTTCAACACTATGGCGTACCTCAAGTCTTTGTCAACCTCATTCAACAGTTGGCTATATGACAATGCCTGTCACGTATCAAGTGATCCACGAAGGAAACCTCGGCTGGGCGTCCGAAGTGCACGCAAGAGTAAGACAAGGTGGCTGCCTATTATCATCACCGATGATATTCTGGATTGTGGTGAACTGGATTATGCGTCAAAATGTGCGTCACTCGCCTTGTGTTTGATGTATTTCTCTCTCATTCTCTCGCTTTCTTTCCTTGTTATTTGTTACCTTTTTACAAATCTCCGGTATAGGCTTTGGGTCATTTCCATTGCGCGTGTGCCACGTTGAATCGATAGGGTAGGACAGATTAAGAGTATTAAAAGTAATACATTTAGGTGCAGAGAGAGGTTAATTACTGAGTCTTTGTTTATCAAATCAACACGTCACACGGGAATGACGCAACGCCCATGCCGGAGATATGAAAATTGGCAACAAATGGCAAAGGAAGACGCACAGAGAGAATGAGAGAAAAATACATCAGAGAAATTGTGAAGGTGTGTGTGACTAAAACTGATATGATTATGACTCGCAACTATTTACGCTCGAAACGTTATCGAGTTATTAATATTGCATCACTGTGTAATATTATTATAGACCACTTAGCATCCACTGCCGATAAAATTCTAGAAATAAAAAAAACGGCCAGTAACTGAAATGTGCTCAAATGCTGAATAATCTTCGAGTGGGGACACTGCAGTGATAGAGTTACGCAACTCCGTCCAGCAGCTACTTGGGTCAAACACCCCCTTTTTTCCTCTTATCCTCGTCCGAATTCCCCTCAACGGCGAAACCCACGTGGTCAGTCTAAACCCAAGCCACGTTCACTTGAAAACCCTGACTGATGTTGATATATCAGGAAGAGAAATGCTGCAGAAAACCTTGTATTTTGGCAATGACTTGAAGACTATGGGAAACCATCCAGCAGGCACGCGTTAGCGGCAACCGTCACCAATGGCAGTAGCCGCCTCTAACACATCCGTGGTGTAGTAAACCAGACACGGTACTTAGTTGACACAGGCGCTGACGTCAGTGTCCTTCCTGCTACAGCAGCAGATGGACAGAAGGAACCTACCTTCAAATTAAATGCTGCGAATGGAAAATCTATTGCAGCCTTCGATAGGAAATACGTCTATCTGAACGTATGTTTACGCAAACCTATTCGGTGGATTTTCCTTCTCGATGACATCATAATGCCCATCATTGGTATAGACCCACTGAACCATCATGATCTACTCGTTGATGTCCGCCGAAAACGACTGATAGATGGTACTACTAGACTGTCTATAAAAGGCACCAGCTATGTGAGTTATAACTTGCCACTGCATAAGAAACAGGCGATCTTTGACCC